TTTTTTGAGCGCAAATCACCAAAGATTTACACCTTATTATCTCCCGATATAAATATCAAAACGATTTATTAGTTTATTTTTTGTGCTCACTATCAGTGATAATTTGATCCGAAATACAATTTTCTACTTAATTCTTGTAAACACTTAAAGCGTGTCTCAGTTTTTTGTGAATAAGAAATATAGTAATAATAGTAATAATAATATTTAAATTGATATTTCACTCAGATACCAGACTATTCACTAGTGTTTATACAAATCACTCAAACCACTGGTGTTTTCATATGATTTTCATCTTCTTTGTCGCTCTCAATGGTATGTCTTATAAAATGTTTGGCCAACTCTTGTCGTCGTCTCTCACATCGCAATCAATGTGTTTTCATGTGTTGACAACAATTTAAAGTTTTTTGCCCACAATTTCTTACATATGAAGAGAGGGAGAAAAACACACAAAAATAAATATGAATTTCCATATAATAAGCAATAAATATAATAATTATTTGAAATATACTCTAATATATCTCATCGCTGTTCACATTCACATAATCAGAGCCCAAGGTTTGTAACATCCGTTTTATAATTAATTATTTAATTAATTGTATTGTTATTAAATCTATAAATAACTTTATAAACACAATATAATAACTCATCTAGTATAAAAATGTGCTTTTATATCCTCTTTCTACAATCACGTTACTAATAAGTACAACAAACCATTTGGGTTAAAATGATATGAAAAATATGCTATGTTTATGCAATAATTTATAAATCTGCTATTTTGACATGGAGGGAAATCGACGACCTAGAACATATTGAATATATTTTTGAGTTATTTATATAACTTGTCAATGGGTGAAAAAGGGAAGACCGAGAGTAATAACCACTAAATTGACATTTCTTATACAACTTATGATTTATTCGTGTATTTATTTAAACATTTTGCAAAATATTTCCGATAATTAACGCCGATAATTTCCGATAAATTAATTCATTAGTTTTGTTTATTTGCTACATAGATTTAGTTAAATAAATACCAAAAATTACTAATAATTAATTCAATAATTATAACTATTTTACAAATACTATTGATATACAGAAGAGGAGATAATAGCGGACATAACGAGTTCTAGTCAATCGTCATTGAGTGATGTGATCTGTTCACAGGCATCCAATTGCAGCAAGTGCATTTCACACCCGCAATGTGCCTGGTGCATGTCAGTGATCAAAACACTGCCCGGCATATCCCGGTGCGACTCATCCGACAGTTTACTGGCCAACGGGTGTCCGGACGCCGATATCGTGAACCCGGCCTCGTCTGTAGAGATTGTTAAAGTATGGCAACAATTATAATGATTTATAAATTTGTTTAAAATATTAATTTGTATTTTATGTTTCAATCTTAGGATGACATTCGCATCAATCCATCGCAATCGCCCATTCAATTACATCCACAAAAAATTCATTTACATATTAGACAAAGTTTGTAATCAAGTTTTTTTTAATCAAGTAACATATAATTTATTTATTCTTAATTAAAAATACATTTTTAGACGATGTGCAAAGATTTCGCATAAAGTATGAACAGGTACTCGACTATCCCATAGACTTATATTACTTAATGGATTTGACTTACTCTATGAAAGAGCATAAGGAGCAACTGGTCGAACTGGCCGACAGTATCGGTATTTGGCTATTCACTTGACTTACAATAAATAAATAATAATAATTAAAACAAAACAAAAACATTTCTGTCACTCAAAAAAAGCCGTTCACATGAATAACATCACCAAATCGTTTCGGCTGGGGTTCGGGTCGTTCATCGATAAGGTGGTGATGCCGTACGCGTCTATGGTTCCGGCAAAGCTGGCCAACCCGTGTACTGACCAACAGGCCTGCGCCCCGCCCTACGGCTTCAGGAATCACCTGCCGCTCAGTCATAACATATCGCGTTTCGCTGTGGAGGTCGGCTCCACACCGCTGTCCGGCAATCTGGACAACGCTGAGGGCGGCTTCGATGCCATTATGCAAGTGATTGTCTGCAGACATCACATCGATTGGCAACAGTTGTCCCGTAAGATCATACTCTTCGCCACCGATTCCACCTTTCATTACGCGGGCGACGGAAAACTCGGCGGTATTGTCGACCCAAACGATGGTAACTATCATTAGCTGATCATTCAGTTCTTGAGATTAATGCCAGACATATCTCTCTCCCACTTATGCTATATTTGAGGTGAATGTCATCTGAGCGACGACGGCCTCTACACCGAGTCTAAGGCACAGGACTACCCATCGTTGGCGCAGATCAACCGAGTNGCGGTGGACACGAACGGGGCTTCTGTTGCGACGGTAACTGTCATTGTGTGGTAAGTGATGGCAAATATAGAGTAAATGTAATAAAATACTAATTACTAAGTCAACATTTGTTATATACTTACTATTTGGGATGTGTTGCGATGGTTAGCCGGGATGGTCGGGACCCACGTGCGAGTGCAGCACATCAAATAACACATGCGTTTATGACGACAAGTCGGATAAGTTATGCTCCGGACACGGAGACTGCCGGTGCGGCAAATGCTATTGCAATGAAGGCTATTACGGACAGATGTGCGAGGATTGTGCCGTTAGTTTTGCACTCATTTTTATTTTTATTGAGATGTTTTTAGGCTATATTGCATGTACTGTACAATGAACTAATGTACTAATGAATATATTGTACGTATTTTGCATACCTGTGCGCTGTGACAGAGTTGTGAGGGCCGGTGCAACGAATTACAGCCCTGTGTTGAGTGCAAAGTATTTAAATCCGGTAATTACTCGCCCGTTGAATGTCGTGACAAATGCACGTTTGACTACCAAATCGACCCGTCATTAGGTTTGTTATAATTACATACTTTATAATGAATTTGTATGAATATGTTTACGCATTTCACTATCCATTGTCTTTATTGTCGTCATATGATTATTTATTTTGTGTTAACAGTCTTACTATGAATTAAAAGTTAATTTATCATTATTAAAATGTTAATACTATTTTTATTACAATGGTTTTGAGTCAAAACTTTTGACCATTCAATATATTGACTGTGAATTAATGTACTGTATATTAAAAACTTTCTAAAATCTCTTTTATACACAAACTTTCATTCATTAAAAGCATGAAGTAAATGCAAAAATATTCAAATAAAATAATATTTCACTGAAAGGCCACACAATTAAGACTATAAATATATATGCAGTATATAAATGATTACATGATTACTATTATTGCTCAGAGAGCCGAGAAGGCGACCGTCGGTGTGTCTACTTTGACAGAGAGGACTGTGCCGTCAGTTTTAACTACGAATACACGGATAACAAACTGTATGTTAGGGTACGGGAGGAGAGGGAGTGCGCGGCGGCGGTCAACACGACAATAGTGGTCGGATCGGTGGCCGGATCTATATTTGTGATCGGATTGATACTACTATTGATTGGACGGCTTATTATATGGTATAAAGACAAGTTAGAGTGGGAAAAGTTTGAGGCCGAGGCCTCCAACACCAGAAATGCTATGGTTTGTATTGAATTATAAATATTTTTTAACTGTAGTTATGTTTAATACACTGTTGATTTACAATATGGTTAATAATCTGTGTATTTTGTGTTTTGTAGGCAAAGTCTGATACCGAGATGAATCCATTATTTAAGCCAGCGCGAACCAATCATGAAAATCCCATGTATGGCAAAGCCAATAAACATTAGTGAAGTGTTTTTTAAATGTTATTTTAAGTATTTTTTAATTGTTTGCATAATTTTTACATGAATTATACCAAAGAGTATTTAAATGCACAGTACATGTAGACTAGTATTGTAATTGATAATAAATTTTGATAATTTTTGAGTACGTTTGAAATTTTCATACATTAATGATATAATGTTTAATGTAATTCTGTATCAAAAACAATGGCATTTTCATCATTACATTTACTATGCATTTATACAATTTTCACAAAACAGTTTTTATATAATAATTAAATCATTAAAATCACACAATAATCACAATTTTTAAGAAATTCAAATTAATAAGTAATAAATCGTTTATGAATTTATTGTTTGATGTCTAAAAAAGTCAATTAATTTTTTCATACGAAAGACACACGCAATTGGATTTGAATTTGTTTTGCAAACTTTAAATACAAATACAATCATTAATTAAATTACTTTTTTTATAACAAAGAATAAAAGTTTTTTTTTGAATTCAATGTAATGTTTGAAATGATTTTCATTTCTTAATGAAATATAACTCAATTGTTTTGTACTAATATTGTCCGCACTCTTAACTCGAAAAACACATATAAATGTACTTTCATTTTAAATTTCACTTCATTTGTATTTTAACTCAATTTTAGTGTCAAGTGATTATTACTAAATAACTTTTAAAAAGTTTTCAAATAAATATTCAAACATGAATTTAACGTTTAAATTGTTAGTCTGTTTAGTGATAATCGCATGGATTAGTTGTGTTGCTTATGGTATGTATTTATAATAAACTACTAGTAATTAATACCAATAATTAATTGTAAAAACTACTAAAATTAATGCACTTAAAGGCCGATCGGTTCCCGATAAGTACCAATCGGGTGACGGAGAGGTAGAGTTTGTGTCGGGATCTCCCGGTACTGAAGGTGAACCCGGATATGGAGGGCCCGGTTATGGGGGACCCAGAAATGTGTTTAAGGATTGGATGAAATTTGTTCAAGGCTTCTTTAAAGGTTTGTATTATATTTACATTAATTGTATAATTATTAACCAATATTAACTTGTTACTATTGTAATTATCTAACCAAGATGGTAATTGGGAAAATGGCGGTCCGGCAAACTTTGGCCGATTTATCGGTAATCAAGTCTCGAAATTAATAGAAATGTTGACCAGAGATGACAACTGGTTCTCCAAGCGATAGACAATTACACCTCAAGACTGGAGTCAGTTATAAGTCACTAATAGAATAAGAATGTATTAAATATTGTATTATTATATTTTGAATAAAAGTTGTTAAAATATTTGATATTTTTGATAAAATTCTTTAATTAATAAATAAACATGGTCAAGTAAAATAAATTGAGTGTTAATTTATAGCTCCACCGGTCATATAATAAAGTTGTGATTATTAGAAATAATCATAATATGCCAGAGGAGCCAGTGTAGAGCCACTCTATGGTAATTGACTAATGTAATGTCTATGGGTGCATGTAGGCAAAGCCTACTTTTGGCGAGTCATGGAAATAATTAATTTTGTGTTATTTTATTTGTGATATTTACATAAGTGTTACATCTACTGGGTTTAAACAAATTGTTTGAAAATTTATTTACCGGTACTTATACTTGTATGTGTTCAATAAATATTGTATAGTAAGAATGTGCTCAGCAACTATAACTCTATGGAAACCTATATAACTTTGCATAGTAAAACTTTCTCAAAGCTCTCCTGAGCACATTTTTACTGTATAGTATGTAGTGATAGGGCAATTACTTTTTTAGATTATATATTTAGAGATAATACAATAGATTTACATACATGCATATAAATGAATAATATGGTTTAGAAAATGGATTAGTACACAAAAAAACATTTGAGATCTACTACTCATGCAGATCTCTATGGTGAAACAATACTGAGGTTAATTATATTTATAAATTTATGTTAAATAAAATAACTATTAAAATTTTTAATGAAAACTAATAAATCACTTATGACTTTATTGGTTGAATATTTTTGTTGTACATTTTATTCAAATGACACGCAACACGTTTTTAATTAATAATTTGTCTTTCAAACACAATCAAACGATTAGCTCAAATAACCTTCATAAAATTAGTTTCATCATAATAAAATCAAATTTCCCTTTAAAATCAAATAAATATTTGATTTCTAAGAAATTATTTTTGTTTGTCAATAAAGTACACTACAATTGATTGGACTTATAGTGCACTTTCACCGCACATATCATATAAATACTTTCGCTTCAAAGATTCCTTTCATTGTATTTTAAACTAAATATTAGTTACAATTAAAATTTAAAAATTAAACAAATTGTGCAAATATGAATTTATCCCTAAAATTGTTAATATGTTTAGTGATAATCGCATGGATTGGTTGCGTTGCATATGGTATGCATTTGTAATTCTTATAAATTAATATTATTAAAAATGTTAATACAGTTATAAAATATTAAATTTAACTAAAAGGTCGATCGGTTCCCAATAACTATCAATCAGATGATGGAGAAGTAGAGTTTGTGACTCCCAATAGTGAATCTCCCGGTGGCAGACGTTTCCCCGGTTTCGGTGGAAGAGGTTTCCCAGGCTTTGGCGGTCGGGGCGGAGACGGCCCGGGCTCTGGCGGCCCTCGCAATGTGTTCAGGGGTTGGATGGACTTTATTCGCGATTTCTTTAAAGGTTTGCATTATATTTACATTTTATTTGATTATAGTTAACATGATTGAACAATGTACTGTATATTGTAATTATAATGTAGATGGTAATTGGGAAAATGGTGGCCCTGGTAATTTTGCCCAATTTATCGGTAAATCGGTCACAAAATTAGTAGAAATGTTGACCAGAAATAGAGATGATGATTGAAATTCCAGTCCATATACTGTATAACATAACACCTCAAAACTTGGGATATTTAATATAATAATGAATGTGTAAAATATCTGATTATAATAATTATATTAAATAAAATTGTGAATCAAGTGAACACTTGTTGATTAATATAATTTATGGTCACTTACCATGCCAATTAATATAATTAACACAAACCATTTCATGTATATATCAGTATTAATACAAACCTACGATGAGTTTTATTTTACCAACACGTCTATGGAGTAAATATTAAGTATCCAATAAGTATTAAATTCTGTTCAATAAGAAAAGATTAATTTTTAAGAAGTGTCTCTTATATAAGAGAATATGCTTATTTTATTTAACTATATTTTATAATAAATTTAATGTTTTTCTTACAGATATGTATTATAAAACTAATTAAAATATATACTGTATAACAATAAAAATCAATAGTTGTATAAATGTTTCTATTGTTCATAAAATTACACAAATAATTCAATTAAATCAAATGTGTATAATTTCAAAATAAACTATAAAATTCATAAATTGTTACAAAATGTATAGAAAAATAAAATCTAAAAATATAATAATAAGTAAACAATCAATTTTTGAGATATTTTTCTCTTCTGTTTCTACCCTTTCGATGATTTCTTCGGTCACTTTCTGTCGGGACTCTCAGTCTTTGGATCTTTACATATAATAACAAAACAGTTAATTGATTATAATATTGCTGTCAAACACTAAACGCATACCTTTTGGCGATTGTTTTGATCGATGGACTGCGACGGCCGCGTTGTCCAACATTGCCTGTTGGGCGGGGTTTAACTGCAGCAGCCGTGACCCCGAACCACCCCTTTCTCTCGGCTCCGATGCTATCAATGAATGCATTATTACTAAACAAATCAATAAATTGTTTGCAATAATTATATCAAAAACTAAACACACGTCTTGTCGCCGGTATCGCACGACTGGGCACTCCTTGTTGTGCCGGCGATTGCTTACCACCGGTTGTGGCGACTGTTCGGTCTTTAAATATAATAAACAAAACAATTAATTGTTTGTAAAATTGATGTCAAGCACTGAACACACCTCTTGTCTTTGGTTCGGTATTTTTGAGGGCGTTTTGGTCGACAACCCAGTCCTCAACACGGGGTTCGGGGTCTCCTGGAGTCTGAGTGGGACTCACATGCAATTGATTCAAATTTGGAGCTATAAATGAATGAATCAATTTTTAATACACAAAACATTAATTTTTGTAATAATTAATGCAAACACTAGACCTCTAGCCTCACGATTGGGGACTCTCTGTTGTGCCGGCGATTGCTTAACACCGGTTGTGGTGACTGTTGGGGCCGGCGGTGCAGCCAATGGACTCACATTTGGTGTTCGCTCCCATGTAAGCAATCCCACGGCTAGTAATGAATGAATTAATTATTTTTAAAAAAACAATTAATTGATTAAAATATTCATTTTAAACACTAAATACTAAGGTTGGTAAATTACAAGGATTTTTTTGAGGCCATGTAATTTACATTGTAAAATACAAAAATGCACGTAATATACTTGTCATTTTACTTACTAT